TTCAAATAAAGGGAGGGTGGACGGGCGGGCGGGCGGGCTTCAGACCAGGTAATAGGTTTAGGGATAAACTCAAACTCTATTTTTAAGGATATTAGGCTCGTACGGGTCAATTATCGAGCTTATCGAGTTTCAAATTTATTTTTTCGGGCCGAATAACAGAACTTGTAGATAACTCAACCCATAAACACTCCTAATTGACAAGTTCAAAACTTTCAGCTACGTTTTTTAAAACTATCCATCATCTTGTTTGATCTTCGACTTAAATCCGATTCAGTTGTGCCTCTACCTACTAAAACTGCTAATCTCACCCTACCNCGGTTATTACCGACAGCTACAAAGGTTTTTTAAGATTTTACTTATTACGGGAAGAATTTTTTTTATGGCGAGTCATTTGGTATATATATAGAGCCAACCTTTCAGGATTTATTTTGTAATTAATTTATATGCTTTTCAATATCCAAACCAAAATCTTCCATCATTCAACTAACATTATACTTCAATGATTTTAATACTATAGGTCCTATCCTTTAACAAATTTTCAATGGGGTGGACCCCAACAGATAAATAATTGACGGAAAATTAAAATATACGGAAAATTATACTTAATGCCCTCTTTGTTTAATGAAATTACACCATGTCCACTTGAAAAAGGAAAAACGAACAAAAGTCCGGTGCAACTTTCGAGTCAATAGATCTAAGCAAACACTCTTTTGTGGACAGAAAAATAAACTGACACAGATAAGATAAATCTACCCATAAAATAAGAGGTATTTTGTATACACGCTTGTGAAACTATACTTCATTGAAGATAGTGGTCTTCATGGGTCGGGTAGGTCATGGGTAGTATAGGCTCAAATCTTTACCTAAGTGAGTTATTGGGCGGGCCGGACTTTGGATGGAAGTAGGTTACCTGCGAGCCTATTGAGCGGACATGCTCGCGGGCTTTTTTATATACAACTTTATTTAAAAATAATGAATATTTTCGTAACTTAATATTTTTGAATAAAAAATAGAGTCAAAATAGAAAAAAAATAAAATAATGAATAATTTTATTTTTAATTAGAGGATTAACTACATCCAATAGAATGAATATATC